AATGCTCATCCTCCCCCCAGGATGCTAATCCTTCATCCCCCGCAGATGGTCCTTCCCCACCCTGGGATGCTTATGGTCCTTCCCCCCCCAGGGATGCTTGAAGTCCTCCCCCCAGAATGCTCATCCTTCCCCACCCTGGGATGCTTATGGTCCTTCCCCCCCCAGGGATGCTTGAAGTCCTCCCCCCAGAATGCTCATCCTTCCCCACCCTGGGATGCTTATGGTCCTTCCCCCCGGGGATGCTCGAGGTCCTCCCCCCAGAATGCTCATCCTTCCCCCCTCCGGGATGCTCGGGGTCCTTCCCCCCATGGATGCTCGTGCTCCCCCCTGACGCTCCTGTTCTCCGCAGCTGGCCCAGATCCTGCCCACGGAGGAGAATTTCCTGCTGTGTTTCCGCCAGCACGTGGGCTCCAGCTCGGAGTTCATGGAGGTGAGCAGGATTCGGTCCCTGGCGCTGGGCAGGATTCGGTCCCTGGTGCAGAGAAACCACCGGGAGCTGGCATTGCCCAAACCCCCTGCCCCCGGGGCTCCCCCAGACTCAGCGTCAGGAGGCGAGGTGGGGCATCCTGCTGGTTTTGAGGGGGGCGGATGAGTTTTCCCAGTCCTCAGCGCCCCTCAGGCAACCTCATCCTGGTCTCCAGGCGAGGTGAGCTGCAGGGATTTGGAGCACCTTTCCGTAAATTCCCCCTCGGGGGTGGTGGGTCCTGGGTGTCAGGGACGTGGCGAAGCAGATGTCTCCCCTCCAAAAAACTTCCCCCTGCCCTTGGAGGGGGCGAAACCCACCCACAGGGTTGAGGGGGGGACACAAATCACCGATGGGGACCGAAAGGATGTGCAGCACCCAGCGGGGGGGGTGGGGGGAGCCTGTGCTTGGAAAATTAAACCGAGGTGGAGGCGATGGGTGAAAGATGAGCACCCCGTGGGGTGAGGGGGTGCCATTGTTTAATGGGGGGATGTCATTAAATATTAAAGGCTGAGGATAATGGCGCTTGAACTCCTGGCCTGGGGCTGAAGGAAAGCATCCAGCCCCAAGGGACAGTGTGTGGCAGCGGTGGGGGGGCCACCACGAGTCGTGGCTGGGGTTGGGGGGGGCAAGGAGGGAGGGGGGGG